CACGAGAATATTAACCACACGTAAAAGCGACATTTTAGCTCGATGCCACAACGAACTGAATACAATTATATGCATTGGAAGACATGACGCATCAAAACATAATTCAATTTATTTGTCATACGCTATAACTAATTCTAAGCAGAACCAATGGTACTTAATAAAGTAAAAACAGCATATTTAACAACATGAATTTATATTAGGGAAGTAATTCGATGCGGTCAAAATTATTAGTCCATAAACAACATTGAGCACGGATAGACGGCACACAAAGTAGTCTTCCGCATATTAGTCCATACAACCGGTTATTATTCCACTGAACACGTTTATGCTACCCTTCTTATGACATCAACAGTTTTTACATTTATATAATACCCATGGCAATATTCATCGTGCAAATTAGCCTAAAAATAATAATATTAGAACTGAAAATTTTACACTTCGATCCACCGTGCACTGTTAGACCTGGTCAGATGGGTCAGATGTAGATTCGACGTGTACAGCGTCAAGATTTCATGAAGGTGACAATGAAGTTACCGTGGTCATCGCTGAGCGCGTGATCCGTGGCTCTTGCATTGTCACTTGGTCGCTGGGAGTTTCACGGAGAATATCTGTAGCAGAAGTGATGCGATATGAATACCCATAACTAATGAAGGAAAAATGAACCATTACCGAAATACGATTCATTTATTAAAGCTCATTTTCGGGAATCGTTAAATTCATTCTCTAAATTTGATGTACGTTATATTGAGCGTGTTTATTCTTAAGAATTATATGTTATGCGATTTTTAATCATTTATTATTCTCACTGTTTTTACAGCCATGGTTCTTCCATTCATTAACATATTATGGTATTCGTTTTATATACATGTATTTTACTTGACTCACTTCTTAGTGATACCTTTGATTTGTGTTTATGGAAAAGTAAGGGTGAAGTTGTTCCCGTGATTAATTTATCAAGCACCACGCCCGAAAACATATTGGGAAGTGAAGGTATAGCTCCACATTCCTTGACGTCGGCATTAATCAGTGGTGAATGGTCATCTTCACGCCCCGGCCGTTTTATCCTTTGGGAAACAGCCGTCAGTTCATATTTGAAAGGAGGTTAGATTATCCTCAGAGCCAGCCTGGACGCTGTGGAGTGGAGAAAAATCTCTTGCCTCTGCCGTCCAGCCCGTAGCCCGCTTTTACACCAACTGACCTATGTGTTTACGGAATCACTATTCAAATTCTTTAGAAATTTCCTTGTCTTGTATTTTGTTTTTGTGTATTCTGTTTCTTTTCTTTATTCGTTTTCACTTTGTAGCTTGCCTTTGGGCTATTAAATTAGCCCGTAAACAAACAAGAATTGAATTTCATTGAATTTTAATTCCAATTGCGTGGGCACTGTTGGATTTCCATCCCTAACTATCAAGGGACTTCTTGCGTCTTTATTCCTCTACCAAATTATGGTGTTTGTTTTTTTACCTTCGAGTAAAATAGTGAGACATTCCCACACTTGTGGAACTGGATTATCGTTTTCCAGTTTTTAAAAACTAAGAACAGCACAACAGCAGACGCCATATGTCTGTCTCTTTAATCAATAGTTCTTCCAAGTTTTTAATTTATCATCTATGATCATTTATGTCATTTCTTTCTACGTACTACACAAACTTATTCCTTCTAAACATGGTTTCTGTAACCTTCGGTCCACCGCGATTAATTTGAATACCTTCGTTAATATTCACTTATTCCATGAACCAAAGTACATCAAACCTTGTGCAGGCAAACTTACAGAACAAAACTCTACAGTAAGTGCATCTGAATTTTCCACCGGCGTATAAATACCGAAACTACTCTGAAAATAGACTCCAGAAACTTTTTAATGATGACGCAATGGTCTACGTCGCCAACAAACGACGAAGCACCCCCATTCCCATAGCAGGCGGAGTACATGCATTTATCCTATGCACTTTTACCAAAGATGGTTTCAGAATAAAACAGTGCCAGGATTTTTACACGAATAAGCAGGCCTACTTGCACAGTTCATTTGATGACGGAGTAGGGACAATAGTCCAAATGTAACCGGCAGTTATTTACAACAGCGGGATAAAAAGGAAAGATCAAAACAAGACGGACTGGAATAGAAAGAAGTGAATGAGCCATTAACCTAAGATAATGTATAAGGGAGCAAACATTGAAGCACGTTGTCACAATAATAACATGTCTGCAATTTTCACTGACGGGCTACAATTAATCGCTTGAGTTACCATAAACTTCCTATTTTTTCATCTTGCTAATTAACTGATGCAACGTCCGTAATAAGAACAAACTATGTGTCTAATATGAGACACTCATTTTACAAATTAGACCCTTTGGCCTGTTCCGATTTGGAATTAGTTAATAAAGTTTACAAATGTTTTCTAAGACCTCTGTCTGAGCAGCGTGCCCAGCACAGCACAAACACTTGTCATGCCAATGCTCGAGTCTTAAGCCACGCAGTCGCAGTTTGTTACTTGTAAAGACAAACGAGTGCTTATGAGAGATGTATGCAGTAATATCGAAGAAGTGAACACTCTGGGAGACAGGATTAGAGCGTTACCGCTTGCTTCTAAGAGACGGAATGGAACTGCGTCGCGAGAATAGCAACTACCTGTATAAGAGCAGTATGTTCACAGCACATGCTGATTACTGTGAGAACGGCGCAAGGGCTGAGGGTAGCAGGGTTCTGGAGTCATGCACAAAGCTTCTCCAGTCATCCTGTGTCACATGTCTGCAAACGTGTGAACCACACGTCTTATTTGGGCAAAATGGGAAGGGTATATTTACCCTTGTGCTTGAGCACCATGAAGGGACTGAGGGGCTTAATCTCGACACCAGATGTAGGAGACTTTCTCCCGATATCAGTCGGCTAAGAAAGGTTAGTAAAGGTAAATTTGTGTCTGTGCTTAACTAATTAAGCACTATATCATGAAGGTGTATAGCGGAGGGGATGTATAGATCCACACTTTCTTGATCTCGACACTAGTTGGAGGCGAGTGGTCAGGTTCACGCCCCGGCCGAAGAAAGGTTGGTGCCAACATATATCAAGAAGTTCTGGGAAGAACTAATCGTCTATTTTCTTTTCGCTGTCATTTGAGTATCTGATACGACAGGTAGCAAGAAAACTGTAGTATTCATGCGTAATGAACTCAATGAAACAATGCAATTTGGGGCGCTTCAGTTTTTGTATTGCTGATGGGCTGATTTTTCAAGTACATCGTTGAGTTGGACTTAGATGACATCATATACGTACCAAGTTGCATGAAGATTGGTTTGGGTATTCAGGAAGTATTATGGTTAATACGTCACCGGTCTGAGGGGCTGCAGTGCTGGTATTACTAATGTGAAGGATTTATCGTGTGTGCCGCGGAGAATACCACAGATGGCATGACACATACATTCCAAATTTCATGACGATCGGTTCAGGAATTCAAGTAATATTAAGGATATTACCTCAAGAATTTGAGAGGCTATAGTGTTGGTATTATTGATGAGATGAATTTCTTAAGTACGCCGTTAAGCTGGCCTCAGGTGGCAACATATACATACAAAGTTTCATGACCTTCATGACGATAGGTTCCGGCATTCAAGTAACATTATATTTAGAACCGCAAGAATTTGAGAGGTTGAAATGTTGATATTAATGATCAACTGCATTATGAAGTATGCCATTGAGATTGATTTACATAGCGTGATATACATATAACATACTAAGTTTTATGAAGATTGCTACAGGAGCTCAAACAATATTAATGTATTGCCTCATAAATTTGAGAGGCTGTAATGTTGGTATTACTGGAGGGAGGGATTATTAAGTGCTCGTTTGAAATGGGCTCAGACGCCGTGATGTACTTACCAAGTTTCATAAAGATAGGTTAATTAGGGGGAAGGGTGAACACACAGATACACAGCAAGGTGATCTCATAAGACCACTTTTATTTTTTCAAAATAGGGAAAATAGGCTAAAATTAAATTTAAAATTCACAATTCGCATTCATACAAGTTTGCAAATACCTGTACTTCTGACAGGATATCTAGGAACCTGGTTGGGGAACGGTTGCCAAGACCGGTGCAGCAGCCCATGCAAACGAAATGGCGTAAGTGGCGGCACATTTCCAACACATTTACTTTTCTTTGCTTTCTGTTAAACGAAAAACAATAATTTGGTTTGCACCGCCAATTTTCATTCCACTAGCTGCTCCACATCCATTGCTCATCCTGTCATGGACGCTATGTAGTCCTGACACTGACAGCGTCGTTAAATATGCAACTTAAAAAAATCTGTGGTTTTGTTCATATCGTGGCCATTAATGGACAATAATGCAACACGCTATGCAACATTGTACATAAGACTGTTTCACGAATTATGACACCAATAACAGTCATAGTCACAGTGTCTGTAAATTTCGTGTTATTAACCATGACGATGTTTTGAGAGAACTGATCAGCTTTCTAATTTTTTTTGGGGGGGGGATCTTTCGTCACCTGTGGCGGCATTGACCTTACGCCAGCCCTGATCAATGCTACTATCCTTTCGTGGCAAAAGGTTTTTGAACTTCGTGACACTTTAGCCCACGGCCCCCGAAATCAATAACTCTTACAGTGACGTTTTATACGAAATTAATGCCTCTTTAAAAGGTATGAGTATTTCGAACGCAAGCCAGTACACAACTATATTTGCAAATATAAGCTATAAGAAATCTCGCGCGTTCTTTGAATAGTCTGAGCTCTTCCTCAAAAAGTAAATATTAGTGGGGATACTGATGCAATCAGGGTAACACGACTGGCTGCATGCACAGCCAAATATAGATATAATGATCTCCGTTTATATACAAAAGTCAATGTCCTTTATGTACGCCTATTCGATTCATCTGTACCAGTGATCTCCTGCAATAGCATATATTGATTTTAGTCTCATGAGTTGTATTCAGGTCAAAGCGGCACGTGACAGCGCGGAAATTACGTGACTGGCCATAGTCACGAATGCAAGAATACGCAAAGCGGAATAGGCGGACGATGAAACCACCAGATGGGACACAAAGCCGCCGTCAAGCACACACACAGGTACAAAAATACTCAGTTATTTATTATACATTATAATTATCTCACACGCAGCGTCCAGACTTGGATATCACACTGACCTGTGGATCATATGATGGATTTCGTCTCCATTCGTTTCCAGGCCGACATAGCAAGCAGGAAAGGCATGAACTCCACGTGTATACAGAACATCATAAACAGAGGAGACGCAGATAAAGATGAAAATACAAAGACAGGCAAAGTGACACCCTTGGTTCCAGCAAATTATACTTCACATGATGAGTTTTATGACTCCCAGAACGAAAACGAAAATGAACACGGTATAAATGAATTAAATACGAAGAGAAATGGGGTCCTTCTGTTAGGAAGAGAAACAGTGAGAACGCCAGGAAATGTGGAATTGGCAAAACAAACTGTGCAAAATGTCGTGGAACTGTACCTAAGACAGGAAGATTTGCAAGCCGATGTTGCGTTGGGTTTCACTATCGAAACAGAAGAGAAGCTGGTGGACCTGCCAATGAGCGAAGAACATGACATATACAGATTATCTGCATTAACGGAAGACTCGTCAGACAATGCACGCCTACATCCGGAGGAGCCAGAAATATCTGAACATTTCGAGCTGAAGTGTGTATCAGAGGAAGAAACGAAACGTGGAGTTCACCACAAACAAAACCTTGCTATTAAAACGGATCTAATTTTGAAGAGGGAAGAACTCGGACCAAAATCTAGTAAGAAACGGAGGAAAAGTGCGAGTAACAAGGGGTCTCCTAGTCAGTTTGTGTCGCGGTCAGTTACTTCAACTCAGCCATCATGTGAGAATCTGCTGAAAGTTAAGGATGCGGTGGAACGGGCCATTAGGGTGAGCAGAACTAATATTCTGTACAGGCGAAGCTTTTTCTATGTGAGGAATTTTCACTTGCTCAGTAATTATTTATTACGGAGATATTGATCATTGATAAGTGATATATGATGGGGACTTGTTTATCCTCGTGATATTAATAGAGATAAAATACATCATCTTTAAGGGAACTGGGCCGCGCCATAACTCAAGCGGTTAGTCGCTGGCTTCTCATCGCGGCGGCCCGGGTTCGATCCCGGGTCTGGTCATGTGAGATTTGTGGTGGACAAAGTGGCGCTGGGGCAGGTTTTCTCCGAGTGCTTCGGTTTCCCCTGCCAATCTTCATTCCATCAATTGCTCCACAATCACCCTCACCTATCATCTGCGGGGGTACAATAGGCCAGAATTGGCCGCAGTACAAGGGACTTAGTCCCACCCCACTAGCAATAAAAAAAATAATCTTTAAGGGATGAATCCTGTTGTGTGTTAGTACTATATATGAGTTTTATTTCTCCTGTCAAACACAACAATATACCAAACAACTCGCACTCACTGTACATAACTGAGTTTATTTGTCGTACATTGTCGCAATTCAGTAGTATAATGTTTGTTAATGTATCGCCTGATGATGGCCCCACGTGCCTAAACACGTTGCGACATTGTACGACCATTAAACTTGGTTTAATGTGAAATGTGAGCGAGTTGTTTGGTGTATCGTCGTGTTTGGTAGGAAAAATAAATACAATAAATAATAATGCAGAAATTCTCATAGACTAGTAAATCAACTGATCTAGAGCTGGAACGTATTGTGGACTAGTTTACGACATTGTCAATAGCTAGAATACTTGTATAGCGTCGAATGGTATGATAAGTCGGAGATTTGGAAGGAAGCGTTCGTAGATACTATCCCGGCATCTGCCTGAAATGACTGAGAAAAACCACTAAAAATCTCGGTCAGAATTTCCGGTGTCCTGGCCGAAATTGAAAGGAGCACCTACCAAACACGAGGCTAGAGCGTTACTGCTACACCAGTGAGTTCGAGAAAAGGAGTTAAACTGAAGACGTGATTACGACATGAAACCAGAATCAGAAATAAAGCCATAATATAAAAAATGTCAGAATGTTTCAAAATTTGAGTGCCTGGGAACAATTTTAACAAATATAAATGAGGTTAATCATGAAATCAAAAGAAGTTTGGAAATGTAGCTTATTATGTAGCCCGAAAACTATCACCATACTCTTCTCCAAAACCCTAGATAAGGTCGTAAGGCGCATTGTATACGTCTTAACCGTGAACATACCTAACAAATGCGTACATCTAAAAAGGATGAAACAAGTCACCTGGTATTGTCAGCACAGTGAAGTTGATGGGTTCTGCATGTGGATAGCATGGAGAGTAAAGAAAAACATACGGAATCCTTGTGTGAAACCTCTTGGAAAACGTCCATTTGGAATACCGAGGAGATGATAAGATGGCTGTTAGGGAGATGGGTCACAATCGTCTAGACCTGCACTGGCTACCTTCGAGGTTAGCGGGGTCAAGTCTTTGGTTTCTCCTACAATAATCAACTTTATATTATCGTAGAATGCTTCATATCACAGCATGTGAAAATTCCTCAGGTCAGACTTACCCTAGGCAGGGTTGCACGACAAAATCTGATATAATTACGAATCTGAATGTAATCTGTTGTTTTTTTAATTGGTTATGTAACGACGCTGTTCCCATCAAGAATACATAGTGTCCAAGATAGGATAATTAATGAACGTGGAGCAGTTCATGGAACGAGAATTTGCAAAGGAAACCTAAGCATTCAGAGAAAACCCGCCTCAGTGGCAATTTGTACCCCATAAATCCCACATGATCCGCTCTGGGATCGAACCCAGGTGACCGTGGTGGGAAGCCGACGACTAACCACTTGAGCTGGTATGGTGCCTTCTGCTTCTCAATTTATGCAGACCGCAATGGCATTCTGTGAAAAACTTCTTTAGAAATAGTGTGATTTATTTCATGAGAGGAATTTATTTATTAAAAAAACACTTATGATACACCTCTCAGTTTAGGTATGGTCATGACTGACGCTATGCAGGAGCATCCTTGACAAGCTTATAATCCATGGCTTATGCTAACCGTCTTAGCGTGTATACACTTTTTCACTCCAAACTGCATGTTTCAGCACTAATGTGCCATCTTCAGGTGTCTTTATGCACGTTAAACTATTGTACTGCATGCCATGATGTCTTCATTCTAAAATGACTACAATCTGTATTCGTCATATATGTCGATGAATTCTAAATGAATTCTACATAATAAAACTTTTCAGGATTCATCGTACGTCGCACTCAAACACGCGAATTACGCCAATCCTCTTTATGTGAGCATTCTTCCTACATACATTTGTGTATCGTGTTCTGTGTTGTGTTTTTCTCCTGTTACTGCACGCGTTGTACTGCTGGATATGCTTGTGAAATAGCATACTCAGCTTCTTAGCATGTTTTACTGTTGATTTACTTAATTTTTAACAGGAACACAAAACATTCACAGTGCAAGGAACATTTCCAACAATCCGTGAAGCCATGAGGCACCGAGGTTGGATCGAGAAAGAAACAAATAGAAATAAAGCCACTATGTCATTGGATGATGGTGAGCAATTCTTCTACTATAACAAAGAATGTATGGTATAAATACCTCACAGTTTTCACTGTAATTTAAATGAGAATATGCAGCTGATAATTTCTGTTACACTGTGCTCCAATACTGACGTAAAATGATAAATTTTCCATCACCACAACTGTACATTTAAAGGTGTTTAATACAATTCAGCTGTATCTTCTAACTTCATAACAACATTTTCAAGTCTTCATTTATCAATAAAATAATACTTAAACGACATTACATCATGAACAGTGGTACATTGATACACACGATTATTATTGCAATTAGACCTCTAATTATGTCTTGAAATCAAAGGTGGAGTTCTGCTGTATCACTCACTCATATCATGAGGAAAAACTAACTCAGCCCTCTAAATATAACTTGCAAAGACATTCAACTAATGATCACAATATACTGGAAAATTTGGGCCCCTTCTGCTCCAAAATAAATAGCATCAGACCCCCTACAGATATCTTAAGACATGTATCATGTTTAATTCCTTACCAGTTTTGACCACATTAAAACAATACCCTGCTCAAACACGACTTATATGTTAAAAAGTATAACATTAGAAAAATCTCAATGTATCCATTTATTTCATCAAACCAAAGTTTATTAGGAAAAATTAAATTATGAATACTACATAATATCCATCTGCCCTTACAAAATTAGCTTATCCTGTAAAAGCATATAGTAAACACAATGAGATTTTTTATGACAACAGTATTTTTTTAAAGCTTAAGTTTTGAATATCTAACATTAACTTATGCAATACATCAATTAATGCTCACCATGGAAAATATTAGCAGTAAGATTCTAATATTAAATATGCAGGTGCAGGCTGTGTAACAAAGTGCATGAAACCAGCAAAATATTTCAGGATGTTTCCTGAACAATGTCCACTGTCAATAGTTGAGACTATGTACTCAACGTTTGGTGTATGACCCTGTCTCCATGTTCAGAAAGAGGCACTTTATTTCCGTTTCCTTCTTGTTTCTTTCAGTCAATAAGAAATTCCAAGATGGGTGCAATTACAGGACACAATAAATACTGGATAAAGGTTACTTAAAAATTATACAGCTTATTTCAGAACGTTTTAAATGAATGTGCATCATAATCAGTTTATGTACTCTACATATCCAGTGTCTCATTTATATAATAATGCACAATGTTTCAGAATCTAGTCCTGTGTCTGTCATCAGGGAAAATGGGGGGCCAAATATGATAGATCTTTCAGAATGACCTGGTTTCAGTCAATGGACCATGTCTAGATGATGGATAATATTCAGGGTACAACAACTGACAATTCATAAAATGTCCTGACACTCTTCCCATTAAAGAGTGCACTTGTCTCAACTGCCTTCAGAAATTAAAGGTAACTTTTCTGAGACCACAGTCAAGTGTAGGATCACAAAGGAAGTGCCAACTGAGGACAGAGATTATGATAATTTGCTTGCTGTTTGGGTTTACCTCACATCTGGGGCAGAGATAGATGACTACTGAGCAATGGTGGAATTGTGATTAGCAAGAGCAAATTACGTTCTCTCTGAACACCAGTCTCAGTTGCACTTTGCATACCACACACCCTTACTGACTGTCCTGGAATGGAACCGAGGTCCCTGAGGAGAGAAGTCAGAATTCCTGTGAAAACTAGGCTGAAAAAAGAACTGGAGAAAATAACTTTGTGATAAATCAACTTGTAACTTGAAAAGTACTATCTTCTCAGATGTGATTCCATGAATTCTGGTAGATGTTTACATACATGTTGGAGGAATGTACTGCCCCAGTTTCAGGCTGAGCTGAACAATCAAGCAGCAGCAAGAGAATAACAGTTTGCTGCCTGATTGGCCATCCCCCCACCCCATTTTCATAAATTATTTTTATCCCTGATGCCTGAAATTAATTTTGAAAAGAAAGAAAAGTAGAAACCAAATGCTGGAAACAGAATGTCACCAGTTACAATGTCTCCAACCTCACAAAGAATTACTTCACTGTTTAATTCAGCTTTCCATTTACATTTTGAAATTTACAGCTTCAATTCCAAGCAGTATATCTGTTCTTACATCCTTAATGAAAATAGACAGGAGAACTTCTGAGGCACTGTTAACAGCTCGACTTCTGCGCAATGTTGAGGTTGACTTCTTGTGGACAATGAGGAGTGAGCCCATAGATTGGCAGGCAGTTCAGAAGAACCAAATCATTAACAGGTTTCCAAGAGCATATTTCACAACCAAGGTAATTTATACACATAATCATTTTTAACCCAAATAATCATCACCACCACCACAAACACTCATCAGAATTAATGTCTGTTTTTGTCTACTTACTTTCAGTACCTGATTTCATAGAGATATCCTCTCATGTAACACTTCATACATGAATACCATGACATGCTTGCAGTAGTCACAAGCAGATTTTACATTTATTATTACCTTTCTGAAGATACAGATTTTTGAGAAGAAATATTCATGTGGATGCACTGAATCTCTCCAGTTGAGAATTATTTTGTATGCATGTAGTGTAAAGAATACAGAAATAGAAGACTTTATGTAAGGTGGCTTACAGTACTTTCTTCGAACTGGACAGCATTAAAAATAAACGTTCATAGCTTTCTCACTTATGTAACTGGTTTCCCAGTGACAGTTGCTATAATTTGGCTCAAATGCTGAAGATGCAATTAAATAACAGTTTATCATTACAACATTACTTTTCAAATGTGGATGAATTACGTGAAACCAGATTCACTACACGTTTTGGATCTAGTGCATAGTCACCCAATGGTAGTGGACCTAACTCAGAGTTTTGATAGTTGAGAAAATGCCAGTAAAAGGATTTTGGGATAAGCCTTCACAGCTTCCTTCCCATTAACTGCAAATTTGAAACACACAATTAACATTTGTGAAACAAAATATAACAGGATATATTACATTTCTTGTTAACTCTTTAAATCAGCATGCCTGTCTACCATAAGTTCATCTCTACACCCAACTGAAGGGTATGTTAGATATTTTCAAGAAACTCAGTATAGCATGCATGCCACTGGAGATCTTGCTTTATAGTGCTTTTAAGTTCGTCTTATAAACATTACCAAATGGTATCCATAAGAACTTGTGAGGCAAATTGAGGCCATTCTACATATTAGTACAAGACTACAGCATTCAACATGCAAATCTGAAACTTGCTGGCGAAATTTTGGGGAAATACATGATAACATTCTTCAGCCAGATGATATATTTTGGTTTGATGGCAACAAATTAATTGTTAACTTCATACAAAAAAAAATTTGGTGATTCATTGCAAATATGTCTACTATTACTGGTATTTATTTTAATTTATTCCTGTCTATTTAATGAAGCTCTCAAGACAAAGGAAGTGGTCATGGCCTACCTTATGGCATTATCCTGGAAACTGCCTGGAAGGAATGCATAAAAGCATAAAATAATCAGTCATAATAGCCAGCCTCTGGGCTGAGATCTGAACTTCGGCCTTCCCAAATACACAGGAGTTCTACCCACCCAACTGCAACATTCAGTTTACTGTTACTACTGAACCTAAACATTTGTTTCTCCTGAATGTTAAAACACAGTTCTGTTAATACTCATTTCAGTTTATTTTCTGCAATACAGGTGGGGTTGTGTGCCTATCTGCAGCACACACACTGGTTCTGTGAGAGTGACGTATCTCATATCTCGTTTCCACGATGCTACAGTGTCTGTCAGCCAGATGAACTGACAGCATTCACACATGACTTTCGCATGACAGCATGCCTCGGCTTACTTAAATGGCTAGTGAGGATATATGAAAATCAGGGAGAAACATCCTTGAAGTCTGTAGAGGGAAAGGTACAGTGGAAAGTAGTGCCATATTCAGCCTAGAGAAGGAAATATTAATAAATTATATGGTACCAGGAAAAGTAATTCCACACGAATATGAATTCAAAGTATAGTAACATATTGCACAGTTTCTTTATAGCATAAACCTCATAGTGTCTATCCAAATTCCAGAAAACTGGAACCTCATCTATGACAGAATATCTGGGAAGATGGTGCTGTTGGCCATCAGGAAGAAGGAAATATATTAACAGCTGTGACAGTTATATAATGAAAATACAGTAATATTCAACTTGTCCCTGTAATTGATGTTTTAAGGTCTGGCAATGTATAATTTTTAAGGCTCAATTTAGTTAAGTACTAGTGTAATATAAAATACCCTCAACCAATAAAATTATTCAATATCAGCGTGAATGTCTCCAATAACAATAGAGAATTCTGCTGATAAACATTCCATGTTAAACCCAAAAAGCCACATGAAGTACTCGATATACTGATTGATACTGTGTGTTTCAGATTCCATTCACAGCTGTGGAATTTGCACTGAAACGTTGTCAGGAATATATTAGCATTCAGGCACATGAGGATATAGACAGGCAAGATTCCATCTCTGTATGGGATCATCAGTGGGATCAGTTCCTTACATGGTATTATATGGCTGTGCATGACAACTTTCTGTTGTTAGAATGCAGGACTACGTCTATTGTGGTATGTACATGTCTTACCTCAGAATGTGATTCAGTACAGATAATAGACTAATACTGGATAATGTCACATGTATTTATGTACAAATGTGAGAATAATAATTTGGTAAAGAGACACTCATCATAGGAGGGACCTACAGAAGCATGGAGAATAAGGAAGTCTGCAGAATCACTACATATCTCTCGAAAGTTTTGCCAGTTTGTCTATGGGTTCTTAATCTCTTCTTTATCATATTTAGAAGCCTGAACAAATTTTTGTTACCCATTTCTAGTCTTAGATAATTATGACTTTGATCACTCCTTAAAACTTTTTAAAAATACCAGTACCACAAAAATATTTATCATGTTTAACATAAAGTAATGATAGTAACAAATCACAATTGCATTCATGTCTTACATATGGACTGGAATAATTTAACCAAAGATAGGGATCAGTGGCAGGCTCTTGTGAAAATGCTAATAAACATTTGGGTTCCGTAAAGGGCAGCGATTTCTCTGATTGGATGAATATCTGCTAGATTCTCAAGAAGGATTCTGTTCCAAGTATTTTGTTAGTTAGTTACATATGTTAGAGTTAGACATTGTATTCCTTAAATGTTCAATAAATCTGAAAGATTTATTGCAAGACAGCACTCTCAGTTATGCAAGGGCAATAGTAACGTGAGACCAAACATATGTGCAAAAGTTGTAAAGTATGTCTAGAAGTCGAGGATAGACAACATCACCAACTTCTACCTGGTTAAGTCACTATATTAAATGGAAGTACACCTCCACTCTCCCACACATCTTCATGGTGTGGTGCTTAAATAATCAAGCCTAGACATAACTTTACCTTTTACCTGTATGATTTGCGGTTTATTTTATGACATTAGTGTCTAGACTCCGTGACACTGAACGGTAAATGATTAATGAATGAACTGAGGATTTGGGAAGTGGTAGCCATGGCCTACTTGAAGTGCAATCCCAGAATTTGTTTGGAGAGACTGAGGAGAACCACTAAAACCTAGTTAGTTAGTTATTGGAGAGGGTGGGTTTCCCCATGCACTTAGACCTGTATTCGTCCATCGTGCTTCCCTCTATGATTTCTACCAGTCTCTATATCCTACTGGTACTGGTGCTTACCATTAGTCCCGCCAAGCCAGCGAGACCGGCTCTACTAGCTGAGAGGTATCTATAATGCTTCCCCCATCTACCAGAGGTATTAGAGACTGCTGTTGGGCGGGAAGCGTCCGTAATTTGGCTCAGTGACCTCCTTTGGAGATATGAGGTTCTTTTACGTGCCGTAAAGCTACGACACAGGACCCACGGCTTAAAGTCCCTCCCGGAGGACTTGTTCCCTGAATTTTTCCGCCCTTAAAAATTCGACGACCTCCGCTGGGTATTTGAACCCGCATACTATGAGTCATGAGGTGGGAACGTTACCTCTACACTATGGAGGCTGCTTCAAAAAACCTAAGTCAGAATGGTCAGCATCCTTGCCAAGATCTGAACTGAGAACTACCCAAATACAAGTCTACAAAGTTATTGCTATACAAATCAGCACAGTGTGAACTAGTTGTATATAACTTACCACTCTCCTACTTTCAAGCCTCACAGAGATGTGAATACAACACAATTTTCAAAGAACCCTATACCAAATGCTTTCCCACACTATCTGTACTATGTGCACTTTCAGGATTTGTATGAGTCAGCAAAACACGTTCTTACCGACATCAGGAAGTTCTGGCCTCAGATAGACCTTGATGGGATGAACAATATCTGGATAGTTAAACCTGGTGCTCAGTCACGTGGCAGAGGAATTCAACTGACAGACAAACTTGAAAGAGTGATGGAAAAAGTGAATCCTACAGCACTGAAGGAATCCAGATTTGTGGTGCAGAAGTACATAGGTTAGTTATGTGGACAGTGAAAACTCAAATCCACTTCTAACAGCAGCTCAACAACTTTCCTTTTAATACAGTGTGTACAAAAAGAGTAGCAACCTACTAATGAAACATTTCCTTCTGTTTCAATTCAGTAAGTACAAGAATTGTGCACAGTCTTCAGCAAATATTATTCATCTTGGAAAGTTACAAAAGGCCTTGGAGTTATGATTCATTGTATACTTTTATGAGAAGACATAATGGCCACTACTTTTCACAACTTTTCAAATGTTAGTTACTTTCATGGGTTGCGCTTTTTTTCAGAACATACTGTAGAAATGATCTCTAAATATTTATTCTTCCTTGCATTGATACATTCCCATTTTAAGTATGTACTTGCCATAGTTTTCCCCTAGATTCTGATTATCATGAATTCTATTTTACTTTAATTCCAGAATGCCCTCTACTAATTTATGACACAAAATTTGACATTCGCCAGTGGTTTCTGGTCACATGTGCCCAGCCCTTAACCATTTGGATGTACAAGTAAGTTTACATGATCAGACAGTAGTGTAACTAAACAATTATAAATGATGTAAGTAAGAATTAGTTTCCACACAAGGCTGTAAGAATTATGAAAACCATTCCATTATAACATACATTGTAGGTAGGTTCATATGACTGGAATGGGTCTGTAATATTGTATATGTACCCATATAATCACAAGAAGACAAATGTACTGTAGGAAATAGTTATATGGGTTTTTGAAAAGTCTATTTTTGCGCTTACATGAGAAGTTAAACATAAATTCATTTGAGGGTGATTACTGCGAAATTACTTAGCCCACTTGCAAAGTAACCTCCAGCAAATGAACGAACAAGTACTGGATCCCTTTCTTTCAGAATTTCTAAGTCTCTTGCTAAAATCACTTGGGCAGAAAAATGACTGAAATCAGCATCACTCCATTCCCTTTTTATGAGGGTAGGATTTCTGGTGATTGAGGAAGACATAACCATTGCCTTGTCAACTGATATTCAGGTCTTCAGTCTTTTCTCATGAGAGGAATGGAGATGTTTCAACAGCATACTGGATTCTCTCCATTTGGTTCTTATATCTGCCATCATTTTTTGTCACAGGCCATTTGTTTGGAAGGGTTCTGTTAAATTTTAAACTCCCATCAACATTCCAAACTTGAATTTGTTCTACGTCTTTACAAATACATTTATACTTCAAACTAAACAGTTATTAACTTCACAGTGCAGCTGAGAGTCACTCAGCTTGTTCAGAAAATCCACCAGAACCAGAAGGCTCATTGCCATGTTCACAAAAGCCCACCACTAGTTCAAATTCTGAGCCAGTAAAACCAAGTCAAACCCTCGCATCCTTTCATTTTAAAATTTATCATGTAATATAACATGGGGCAAGCGTGACAATGAACCAGCGATGATTCTAGTTTTCTATGAAAATGTCAATGTTATTCATCACTCAGGGACTTGTATGCACATAGAGAAATTATATCAGTAACTGAAAAAGTAGAGTTTGTTAGTGATAAGATGTTTTATATAATACTAAGAGGATGGTGTGACATTATTGTTTTGAATGTGCAAGCCACAGTTGAGGATAAAAGTGATAACACAAGGGACAGATTTCTTGAAGATCTTAAGTTTCTATTTGATCACTTCCTTAAGTTCCATATGAAGTTTTTGTTAAGAGATTTCAACATAAAAGTGGGGGAGATATCTTCGAACCAACAATTTTATAATAATAAAAGAGTTAATGCAGTACATGCAACAAGAAAAATCTGTCAAGAGTACAATGTTCCATCATTGCAAAGTTTGTAATGCATTTGGGCTTCTCCTGATGGGAACAGACACAATCAGACTGATCATGTCCTGATAAACATGAGATGGCAAGTGTACCAGACATTTAATCTTTAAGAAGAGGTGACTGTGATATTGACCCCCACCTGAAGTCAGGGAGAGACCGACAGTAAGACAAAGTAACAGAAGTTTGATACACAGAGATTCAGTCTCAAGATCCTAACACTATAGTACTGTCTAAAGCCATGATTCATAACATCACAGCAAAATTATGTTCTACTCAATTGGTGATGGACAAAAAGATATCTTGAAAAAGATATGTACTCACTGAAGAAAAACTGATATCTGTACTCAATCAAAAGCAAGACTGAAGTCTTTTGGATCTGTGGGGACATCCCACATAGCACGCTGTTTTCACCGGTCTTTTGGACAGCACTCACTCCTTAGTGAATATTGCATTGACGGACGTTTCGTTTATATTTATACCAGCACACACTGCAAATTTCCACTCCGCATTTTTCACTAGCCAATCAGCGCTCTGCAAATTGTTGCTCTGCAAATGCAAGTTTCGCTCCGTCCACCGAGCATTGTATAAAAGGCGGAGCACAAGCTCGCAAGTCATCAGTTCTCAGTCAGTATATCAGCAGTCTTCAAGCAGTCTACAAGCAATCAGCACACTTCGTCGCCGGCACTCGGTCTTTGGAGGTATCGGCACTTCGCTGTGCCAAGCACGACTGCCTCGCCTGTCCGGCGGTCACACCCCCGACTCACTGGGCAACTTGGCCGCCTCGGACTCACTGGTAGTCATGTCCGACACACTGGGCAACTGGCGTAGCTACCGCCTCTCCACTCCAGCGACCGCGCTTGACGACCAGACTTTCGCCAGCAGCTGACGTGCTGCGATCAAGCAGCCTCCACCATCTGCTGCACTGCGATCAAGCAATGGCCACACTGTGGCCAGTCCACACACCGCAACCAACATCCGTTCCTACCGGCGCACGCCACGCTACTTCACCGGCCAAGCATCTCAGCAACCACAGTCCTTTTCAGGACCTACAAACTGTTCCGAAGAAGTGGATTGTCAATGAAGTAACGACAATACACAAAAACCCCACATATCTTCAATGGGGGCTGGCAAAATATGGCTCATGCTGGCACAAAGATACTGAAGTAAAGTACAGTCATACACAGACTTTTATTTCCAGATTGTGAAGAAAGAAGTTGATATTGTAAGCAGTTTCAGGAATCAGTATTCAATGGATTGCTTCTAAATGTTATGTGAGATTGATTATGTGACCTTTCTTCAATCAACTGACTGATGAAGAAAAACCATACAGCATTTTATGCAATATAATGCAATGGCACACAATGCAAACAATTCTATGAATGCACCAGATGACATCTTCAAAAAATGTTTCATAAGTCAAGGAGTGTGGCCTCTGCAATCACCCAATATTAATCCTTGCAACTTATTTGTGGGACACACTGAAAGCAAAAATGTATGTGAACAATCCACACTCTGTGAAAGAACTTCAAAAAAATATTGGACTTGAAATTTCTGCTGTTCCCTTATAACAGTTTTTGACATGCACCCAAAAACTTATTCCCATGATGTGAGGCATGCTTAGAAACACAGTGTCATCACTTCAAGACTCTACTATAAAACAAGGTAAGTTAAGGTGCAATGGAAAAGTAGGACTTGAATTTTTGGCACCATGATGGGTCCATTTGAGGACAGTGTCATGTCAGCTGTGGCAACAATAAACCGTACATGCTGTACATGTATAAAATATACTAATGGGTGAAATTAAATTACTATTTCAGAGAAAGCTATCTACGTTTCTGTTCACAACCATTTGACCTGATCAGTATGCATGAATCTGTACATCTGTGTAATAATGCTGTGCAAAGCAAATATAAGAATGCAAAACGCAATGCAGGTTTACCCGATGAGAACATGTGGGATTGCTATACTTTTCAAACATATCTAAGGTATGTTCACAGTTTTGTAGTATGTCATTGATTTTACTGTCACAAGTTTAACCTACTTAATGAACTGAGATTGTAGTCAAATGTCATCAATAAGCACAGTGCTAAGATTTAATGTTCTTGTTCACAAAGCAAGGGTTCTACGTTACTCCTGTTTCTTCACAAGTGGTTACACATGGGTCAGTCAGAAAGCAAACACTCCTGCCTTTAATTTCAATACACTTTATAACAAACATGTCTGAAAATTACACTGTAACTGTCAAATAGTAATAAATATCTGGTCATGAGCGCCAAATGCAGCTTGACACCAAGACTGACTGACTGACTGACTGACTGACTGGCCATCAGTCACGATGCGACTTTGATGGCAGTTAGAAGAACAAGATGTTGGTGTGAGATGGCTGCCAGTCCGTGAGGATGTGAGCCCGGGAGCAGGGGAATGTCCACTGGTGAAGACAGAGCAGACTGATAAGACTCAACTGCAGAGCGTGAATCAGCAATAGCGCTATAGCTACTTGTAGCCACGATCTGTAAATGTTCAGTTAATCCAATTAACAATCCAAAATCCATCTACAGTCACTCTATCATGTGATGGTATCTACAATTATCATCAGAATACACTTTTTGCAACAGTTTGTACACACCTAATTCTAAGCTGGTGCTGATGTACTGATACATCTGTCAGATCACACTGTAACTACACTAAAATGATGTAGTGTGTTTGAATGCTATAAAAATGTAACCATTATTTATGTATGAGAATGAGATGATGATGAAGGAAACAGCAGGCATTATGTTCTGGCTGACTTTCATGATTTACTGATAGAGGTTTCTACATATTATAAAAAAATATGAATTTATAATTTAAATCTCCATTAAACAACAATTTTACTTCTAAATTCAGCCAAACTACATTATGCTGAATGAACAGCCTTTAAATAATAATATTAAAGTAAGGGACTGTCATTCATTTTTCAGAGGAATAGGTCATGCTGATATGTGGGAAAAATGCATCTACCCTGGCATGCGGCAGAGCATCATATGTGCTTTGCTTGCATCACAAGAACATATGGATAGACGTACAAATTGTTTTGAACTGTTTGGAGCAGACTTCATGCTGAGTGAAGACTTCTCACCATGGTTAATTGAAATTAATTCATGTCCCTGCATGCAGGCTACTACAAGTGTTACTGCCCGTATGTGCTCACAATGTCTTGAAGATGTTATAAAAGGTAGGCTTTCAACTTCCTCTAGCAGGACCCGCAAGAGCCAATGCCATTGTTTAGAATGACATAATCAGTATTCTCCATCTAAAATAGGAATAAGGGTATATCATGTCATGTCATGTCATGTCATGTGTCATCCACAAACTTCCATTAGATTCTGCTTTCAACACACTTCCAACATTCATTCGCCAGTGGGAAATTCAAACATACTTACATGGGACTTTGTTCCATAAGACTGCCTACACAACAGGAGATAGACTTCTGCACAGTACATAATAAACGCACAAAAACAACCGAAATTAAAATGTATAACCCGCCCCCATAATTAATCTTACCTAACTGTCAGTGCTGAAATTCCATAACTTACGCCACAGAGCAAACTTCTTGAGCATCTGATTGTCACTCAGCTAACAAAGCAATTTCCTGCCTCTTCCAGGACCTGAGGGCTCATTAGTGTGCTCACAACAGCCTGCCACTGGACCCTCAGGATACAGCAGAATCCAGTCCAGACCCTAACACTATTTATTCTAAATCCATTTTAATACTATACTCCATTCTATGCCCAGGTCTTCTAAGTGCTCTCTTCCCTTCATGTTCAACTAAAAATTTGAAAGTTTTTTTTTTTAACTTCCACCGTGTGTGCTACATGCCTTGCCTGCCTAATGCTTACACTTCTTCATTTGATGATCTTAATATCTGGCAAGAAGCACAAATTAAAATAGCCCCTGAAGCAATTTTCTCCATCCTTCCTGTTACTTCCTCTGCTTCAGATTCAAGTATTCTCCCAAACACTTTGTTCTCAAATATCGTTGTCCTGCGCTCTTCCCTTACTATGGAAGACCAAGTTTTACATCCATATAAAACAATTAAAACTGTACCTCTGCACATTAGACTCTTGAAGTTTTTAGATAAGTATTGCAAAGGCTGAAGATTCTGAACTGATTGCTAGCAAGTTCTCCCCAAATATAACCTCCCCTTGACTTCTTCATGAATTAGATTTCAATATACGAGTATTACCATCATTTATAATTATCTGGATGCAGTGAAAGCCTGATACATGGGGTTGTTGGGGACAGATTAACACAAATATTCTAAGCTACTCTTTTACAAATAAAAGCTAACATTCAACTATCTCTTTTTCCTTATGTAAGTAGGCACTTACTAAAAGACATGACCAATTTACAATGCATATTACACTGACATTTTATTGATACAAATTACCATAAAGTTACACTGTACATCTCCTTATTGAAATAGTCCAGCAATTTAGTTTGTTACACTTGATCATATCAGTTGTTCAATGCATGATAAGTAAATTAAGGTCTCTGTCAGCCCCCCATTCTATAATTACATCGCTTTATTATTCTTCTAAACATTCAAGTTTACTGTTGGTACCACTCCTTTAAAGGAGTCATCACCAGTATCCTCTGAGTCACTTGCATGTCCCATCTTCACATGCACACATCACTCAATCCAGGCTGCAGGTCATTTGCTTCTAGCTTACTCAAGCGCACTGCAAGCAGTTTTCACTTTTCATTCTAAAATGCTGCTAATATCTTTGATAATGTTACATACTTTTTCCAGCAGTTTTCAGTTATGATTGAATAAATCTTCCCCAAAGCTGAACCAACAATGTACGTAACACCTTTCAGTGCTGAAGTCCTTAGAAATTTTGTAATTTGCAATTCTGAGTTTTAAATGCCAAAAAGTAGCTCACTGAAAAAAACAGGCTCGAATAAGGCCTCGATCTACAAGCTGAGTCAGTGCAATCACATTCTTTGACAGAAACACAGCTTCCTTCTGTGAATTTCAGCGCACCAGAAAAGGACAGAATGGACAGTGATTCAATAGTAACAAAGTCGTTTAGAAAGCAAATGGTGCCCCACTGATCACACAAACTGACTTTCAGATCTTGAGTCAAAAATACTGCCATCACTGAAGTACTATAACTGTTTTTATAGCTCACAGGCAAAGATTTCATCCTGACATGCTTGAAATATCCGGGAGTTCCACATTTTTTTTTATCTGTGCAGGGCAATTTTAAATTCTGAGTGCCAGTTCTGCTGGAACAGAGCCACACACCCCTCTCCTACAGTCAGCTTTCACACCTTCTTTGTTGGATGCTTATTTAGAATGGAATGATTTTCTTGAGGACAGTCTGTTGCATAGTGCTGTGTGATCACAGATGCACAATTGCTCCATCAGTGTACTCATCATCTTTAACCACATAACGTAGAATTTTTGGAAAATGTTCAGCTGCTTTACTGTCACTAGATGCAAGTTCACCTTCAATGCTAAACTTACATAAACCACACAGAACCTTCCACCACCAAACCCACCCTTCAGAAGGTCCAAACACTTAATTTCTACCTGGTTCCTTATTAAATGTAATTGCTTCAGCTTTCAACATTACCCACTTACAGGTACCAAATCACTATGCTCTTGTAGGAAACCACTTGTACAAACACCTGTTTACATCACTATTTTCAAGAAGCCTAGATTTCTTTCCCTGCAACCTTACTTCATCTTGTACAGTATACATATATGAATAAACATATTTTTTCCCCTTCTTTCATCCAACCATTATTCCTTCTGGAATTCCATACTTGCAGAATAAACTGGCTCTTGGTTTGCCACTTTTTAACTCTCTTGATAATCTTTGGCATTTCAACTCCTCAGCTTCCACTGCTTGTTTTTTAATCTTGGTGGCTGCTGCTACAGCCCTGCTAGATTACTAATGAACTGGAATCCTGAGTGACTTTAATAAAACGATAACAGTGTAACATTTATATTTCAGTGGTGATTGATAAGCGTTCCGACAAGAGAGCAAGTACAGGAATGTTTGAACTAATCTACAGGCAGCATGCTCCCCAGGCACCTCCATACCTGGGAATGAATTTGTCTATTCGTGGGACCAAAGTCCGTAACACAGTATCTAGACCAAGATCACAAACCAGGAGTGCTAACAAGGCAAACATACCTAGGGACAGATCCAATGAGCAGGAGTCATACAGCAGTAGTCCTGACAACAGTAAAAAGAGGAAGAGTGTTATGCTACAGAGTTCATTTAGTAGAAGGCCTACAGTGACAAGTTCAAGTGGCAGTTCTGGGGATAACAGGTGTCAAGACTGCCCAGAGAAGTTTGCGATACAGAGTATACCAGGAATAAGTTTTGAGGGTGAAGCATTATTCAGTGAGCAATCCAGACAACCTACATCAAAGGAAAGTATTATGGAAACTCATTCAGGAGACGGTTCTGATGAACAAAATCTAGTAAGCAGTGATTCTGAGTACACTGTGAACCCTAATTATAGCACAAATAACGCACAGCTTAATAATCTGCAAGAATATATCAACAGTGAACCTGAATACAAACTAGATATAAATCACAGTTCTGAACAGCTCAAATTTCTGGACACCAACCTTGAAACCATACTGGATAAGAATCCTGATATTCACAGCAAAAACAGTATAGATGTCGCCAGCTATGACAATGAAGGAAACCACAAACATGAAACTGGGTTAAACAGTTCAAGTGCCATTTCTGCTGAGCAAGAGCTACCCAGTAGTCCACCTGAATGTGTTACAAAGAACACTGCTAGGTTAAAGGATTATGAGATGAATCAGCCAATTGACAGCAGTCCAGAAAATAAGCTGCAAGTTAAAGAAGCCGGAATAAAAAAATCAGAGGGAAGTTCTAATGAAGTACAGCCAGTCAGTAACGGACATGAGCTGAATATGGTGAAATGGAGAAGCATCAGAGTAACGAATTTTAAGCTTGCACGTACAGAACATGAAGCAGTTAGCAGTGGGCCTGAAAATTCTACACAGAAAAATAGAACTGAAATAATAAAGAAGACAGGGTCCACTTCAAAGGAACAAGAACCAGTCACAAGTGGCTTGGAGCAAACTGTGAGCAGAAAGTCTAGGCTAAAATTCAGGAAGAAGAATCAAGGGGGAAGTGGTACTGAGATGACAATGAGAAAGAAGAACAATTGCAAAGTACAGAAAATGAGTGACAGCTCAGATGACCAACACTCAGTCAACAGTGGTTCTTTCCAGAAGAAAAAAAGTACCAAGATAAAAAATTCAAGTGATAGTTCAGAAGAACAAAAATCAAGATGTGATTACAATAGAGACAGAAAGAAGAGTGCTACAATAAAGCCAATGAGACAGAGATGTGAAGGACAACAACTATTTGACAGTGACACAGAAAATGTTACACAGAAGAAAACAAGTTCTGGAACAAAAGATACATGTGACAGTTCTGACGAACAAGAACTAATCAGTAGTGGATATGACAATAAAGCTCATCTGAATTATTCAAAAATTAAATGTTTAAGAGAGAATTCTGAGTATCAGGAACTCAGCACTAAACCAGAAAGTCCTTCACAAAAGAAAAGAAAGAATTTGGGGGGAAATATTTCAAGTGATGGATCTGGAATACAGGAACAGTGCAAGAGAACAAAACAATCTCTGAACAAATCTATAGAGGAAGATGAAGTTAGCACTTTTTCTGACATCCAGAAGAAAAGCAAGGAAACAGACAAATCACAAGGCTCAGATGGGGAAAGTGAGGAAGTGGCAGTCCATGCAACACCAAAACATAAAAAAGCAATGCCTAATACCATGTCTTTATATGGTTCTAGCATAGTAGACCATGGAAAAGGAAGTCAAGCACAGAAAGGAACTCATACATCACTTTTACATGGAGGAATGACTGAAATGCAGGGAAAAGATGTTATGGATGCACAAGAATGTGAAGAGATTTTTAAGAATGCAACTGCAGTCATGCAAGGCAAAGCTGAATGTACAGCAGCAAAAACGGCAGGCAAGTCATGGTCACACACAAAAGAAGGCTTCAGCATTTCACATTTTACTGAGACCATTTATTCAAATGCAGAAGAGATCATACCGAAAGGAAAGAAATGTTATTCTTCTGGCTGGAAAAACAGCAGTGATGCAGAGAAGTCAATGGAATATTTTAATGAATGGAGACAAAAATTAGATCATACCAAAGCAAGCTGTGAGGATATGTTAGCTAAATTTAAGACAGTTAGAGACAATGAGAACATAATCCATACACCTAAGTACTATTCCATTGATAAAGGAATTAACTGGGAGGGTGAGAGTGCAAACAAACCCACTATAAGTGATATCATCAAGAAGTTATCACAGACACGACCTGAACGAGAGTTCTTCACGTGCAATACCGGAAGAAAATTCATTGATATAATACCAGAACATGCATTATCTAAAAAGAAAGAAAAGATAAAAACACATCAATATGACCTCAGCATGGTTGATGAAGATAATATGAACTCAACAGCAAAGACCAACCGAAGACTATGTTCAGGGCCCTCTGATCAGAGGCTGTCTCTAACCACACATGTTTATCATCCTTCTGTAAACAGGAATCCCATATCTATTGCAATTCTTCCACATATAAGGCAGAGAATTAAGCAACCATCTGACAACAACTTGTTCTGTAGTGGTCGGAAAGTGGACAGCTTCTATGCTGTTAGCATGAATTTGAAAACATTACAAGCTAGTCAAAATATAAGGCAACATTTGTTGTTACCACTGGGATCTGATCAATGTCTTGGTGTAAACTCAACTATTCCAGCAGCCATTGAAGGAAGTTTACTATAATTAAACAGCTATTATATTTGAAAGAATACATAAATATACACTCCTTAACCATTTTCTTTTATATAACACAGGTATCATCATGTTAATATTATGAAGATATGAGGACCTGCTGTGTTGCATAATTGTACCACACTTTCCAGCCATAAATTTAGTATCAAATTGCTATATCTCAAGCATATAGAATTTTTGTTTGAAAATCTGAAGGGAACTGACTGGATACAGTATACACACTCACGCTGCCTCTACTGCATATTTTACAGAAATTTTGAATGTATATACAAGGAAAGATGAAAGGTAATTCATAACACTTTTCATGAGTTCATTCTGCAGGAGTGTAAGTCAGGAACTGATGGGTTTAGTAGCCTGACACAGGTGTCATCAACATGAGGAACTGAGGTGGCAAGCTAGATAACATATTGTTTTAGATGAGCTTTTCTCAAATATGCAACAATAAAATGTCTGAAGAGTTCTATCTTCTGGGATATAATTCCATGTCGTCTGCTGAAAATCAACCAGAGTTCTGAAGGAACATGTCGCCTCCTTCTTCAAGGTTAAGAGTAAGGAAACCAGAATGCTCCTCCAAAATGCTGGTTGATTTTCAATGGACTACATGGCGTTATATCACAGAAGACACGACTCTTCATAATCACCACTGTGAGAATCTCAAATGCTAAATAAAATATCCCATCTAAGACTTGACTGTCTAAAAAATGTGGAAGCCTTGATGTCATACAACCCTATGGGCCTCCACAGCCTCTTATATGATTGCTTTAGTTTTTATTAACCTTACCAGATCTTTCAAGGAGAAAATGATCTTTACAAACATTGAATAAACTCAGTTTTAAGTTTATTTTACATTAAAACTCTCACGGAAAAAGTTGAGGGTCAAAGGACACAGTATTTTCTAGCAGATACATGGACCAAATTGAACTTAACATCCTACACTTGAGTGATGACTAGTGACAGCTCTGCAAGAGAGAGCAGAAGAACTGAAGTCCACTTAAATGACAAACAGTCCATTCCTTCTGGGCACAAAAGATGCAGAAGTGGTTGGATGCATTTCTTATCCTTTACCATTCATGCATCACACTACTATGATGGTGTATGCACAGGTCCAGCAGGGCCAATCCTCACAATATTTACAATATAATCACATCTACTCCAAAGATAAAATATTTCCACCAGTATCATAATGGCTACATATTTAAATCCTGTTTCCAGGTATTTAAATGCCAAACCAATCTTCACATGGTGCCCAGTGTTCTTACAAATCAGATGATAGTAACTGAGCAATGCTAGATCTGGTGTGGTGGAAATGTCTCTCCATACTTAAAATGACCATCTAGTACAGAGAAGATTCCACTACATAATTCATGTCCATGCTATGCTGCATGTTCCTTCTGATGCCCATCACTGTCACCTTCATCATCACCCTACCGCCACAAACATACAGGAAATTACACCCCATCATTGCTCCTATTTAAAAAGTAAATTATTCTGACATTCACTTTTCCAAGTAAACAGACAGCCAGGACCGCCAAAGAGAACAAACAAATATACAAAATACATGATAAGGGTTGATTATCATCATAAATAGACTGTCAGATACAAGTGTTTAAAACTGTATTCAAATCAACCCTGTGTGAATTCACAGCATCATCAGAGGTAAATGCAAACTGCTTACAATCCAAAATCATGCCCAAATACATACAGATTTAAAGCAATTCTAAACAATTTAAATCCATGATTTTAAATTCCAATCTTAACATGAGCTTACACTGTAAACAATATGGATGTACTCCCAATGATGCTGTAAACTCATGACAAAAGATGTAGGGTTTATCTGAATACACACTTTAGATTGCTATATTTTACAGTATAATTATTTATAAACTGACAATTAATACAACAGATATGAATAAATGTTAAAACTAATCACCTTAACTATACATGGCAAAGAATGTGAGTCATGAAGATCTTTGCTATGTAATTCTCTCCCATGTGGCAGAAAAGAAATACAGATTGTAGTAGTGTAAAAAATACTTACATGGACTGTAACAAAGTAAAACCACTATAAGCCTACCAACTATGAAGTGCCCCCTGACAAAGCTGGACACTGAGCACCCCAAACCAAACTTCCCTTGATAGCAGTAGCAGCTGTAAGTACTTATTCACTCACTTTCACATAAGTTCTGCTACTGCACCCAACGTGATAGGATACATGGAAAGGTGTGAACATTCTCAACAATATACGTGCCTTTAACACTTTCGCTGCATATTACTTTCTTGCCATTTTCCTAAAATAATGACATTTTGAAATCAAAACAATGAAAAAATTCACTTTCACAGCCCAGTAAATGCAGTCAAATGAAGCAGCGAAAGGACATTATTTACTGGTGTGGACAACAGTAAAATATAATGTAATGTGGGCTTGTCTGACTTCAGTCAACCATGGCAGCAGGAGGGTTAAACGTCAGTACTTTCATAACCATACATGACAGATAATGAAACTGCAATGAACTTTTATTTAAAACTTACATAATCATTCTGCTTGTACAAGCATAACAATCCACCATCACTGCACCTCATGACTCACAGAATCAAAGGCATTTGTCTTGTGGTCAGAAATATTAGGTCTAGCTTCATATGTACAGATTGTGACACCATGACGATGGGCTTCATAAAACTCTCCTCTTAAGCCAATGTAATATACTTTGGTTGTTTCACTTCCAAAGTTTGTTGGAAAATATAATGTTAGATGATGGACTGAGGAAAACTTCACTACCCTGCAACATTTCCATATGATTAACAAAATGTAATTAGAATGGCTATTATCAAAACAAACTGTCAAAAAGTGCAGCAAATTATATGGCCTATTAATACCGCTGATAAGGAAATCAGTCCTTGACAAAATACAAGAAATTTACAAAGAATATCTTAATGTTCAAAGAATTTTTAAATTTATTCAACTGAAATTATGTTGTGAGATATAGTGCATACGACAAAGCCCTGACAGATATTATCTATTAATTTCACTTACTATATCTTCATTACTTTTATATCTTACATTAATTATTTTATAAACAACACTTACAGCTAAGTATACACATCAATACTAACTTTGTGGAATACTCTAATGTTCCAGTATTGTCTGGATGAAGGTCAAATTCCTGATCCCCTGGTGCACCAACATCATCAAAAGTCATGTGTGGTCGATTCTTATACCTGCAATATTGTTTGCAAGTAAAAGCTATGATAAGACATTTCATAAATACTAAAATAATGTTATCAAACATAAATGTTAAATGAGGATGGTTCACAGAAACATTTGAATAACTAATCTCTCACTAGAAAGAAACAGGCTTCACTCTCCAGTTTGACAAAACCTGATTTGTTATGCAGGCCATGCACTGGACAATTTAATATAGGTCTTCAATTTTCCCACTTTATGAACTCCAACCATAGACATGTGCTTAAATGCTGCCAATCTAATCCCAGAATAAAGTGCACAGAATTAGCAAATTCAACCCAGTTCATGTGTTATCTCTATATGCAGAGTTTTATCATTTTGATCTTCGTAGCATGTCCTCTTTAAACAGAAATATTCTGCGAGTGCACAATGATGCAAGAATCAGACACTACTCCCACCTACCACCATTCATACTTTTCTGATACATTTCTGCATGTCACCATGAGCAACATCCTGCAAGACAATCTTACAAGCTACCTCAAGCATCACTAAAGTGACAAGCTTTCCAGACAGATCTTTCTTTGTGGAAAGAGGTAAAGACTGCAAGGAGCAGGCTCAGAGGAGTATGGTGGGTGGAAAGCATCAAAGCACCATGCCTGGAAAGTTACTACCTTTCGCTAGGACACTGTCATATATAAAAACCAGTTACCCCCCACCCATGTTTCACAATGTTTCAGGGGAACTGCATGCCTCATGGTTGGCCTACCACCCATGGGAATGTCATATTTGATTATCAAATCATGGATTGTACTATGATATTAATGTATTACATTGCTTTTGTTCTGCTTTAACATCTTATTAAACCATACAATAATGTTCTACTATAATTTTACATAAAAAATTTCAATGAAATTGAAAATAAAATAAAACTAATAAAAAACTGGCGGAAAAGCCTGCTTACATTCAGCGAGGAAACACTTCATCCTACACCCCTTCCTACTTTTCCTTCATCCCTTCCATACTTGTACCTCATTCCTTCCTTTCTCCATTAAGGCAAGGATGAAAGTAGTGTGACATGTTGCGCTATGGATGACGCCCCTCCCTACCCGCCAGCCGTGATGTGCCGAGCGGAGCCGAAGTGAGCCAAGTCCCAGCACGCTGGTTGCTATGCAAAGTGAGTAAACACCAGTTGCTAAGCGAAGCGAGTAAACAGCGGTGACATAACATGGGACGCCGCAGTTGCTATGTAGCCGTAAACAACTCCCAACAGTGTTGTTAGGCTATCGGCAAACATGGCGTCAGACAACAGTGGTGCCTATTACGTAACTGTTTTCCCGTTGTCCAGCTGAGGATTTATAAGGGAACTACACAGCCGCCGAGGACAGTTCTCAAGGCAGCAGCCTATGAGTTGAGTTGGAATCTAGCCAGCAGTAGCAGTAAGGAGTGAGCTGAATTGTAGTAGTCACCGATTTCAGTTGTAATGAGTGAATCGTGATAGTGTGAAGAGATTTGGTTGTAGGGTTTGTAAAGTATGGAAACCCGTAACATTGTTATAATTATTTGTAGCTGATACTTGTAGGTTGTTAAATAAACCAATTAACAATCTGAACGGCGTCTTCAGTAACGAAACACATATCTTTCGGATGCAGTTTTGAATATGAAACTATCCTCTGTGTTATGTGAAGAATACTACAATGTGGAAATGACATAAAATAACTATACAATCAGAAAAAAACATATACATAACCACAAAACAACTCATGTCATACACATACAGCCCATACTGAAGTGGAAATGTTGAAGAAAGAAGGTGATACAGTCTAGATTCATAAAAGATGTACACGTCTCAATAATAAAAATTTGTAATTTATATAACTTTTTTCAGATTCTGAAACTCAACCATACTTATGTGAGCCTGAATTGTTTAATCTTTTTAGTCTCAAAATCTATAACAGTAGCTCACATACTGGAGTACAAGGGTTGGAACTTTAATAGTGGCAACACTGCTGTAGAGACACCATGAAACGGAACCAAATACTGTCACTTATACCACACGTTAGTTACATACCTACCTTACATCAGAGCAAATGGACTCTCCCTTCCCACATCACGCGCATGCGCAGTGACGAGAAGAACAGAGCCTCGTGTTAGCTGGCGGTCTATGTAGTGGTGTCACGATGTTTTCGAAACAGGAACAATGGAGTTGGATAAAGATTGAATATGCCAGAGGCTGTACAGCATGACAGTGTCATCAAGGTCTTCAAGGGGCTTGCAGGGAATCTGCATTGCCTTACAGAACAGTGCCAAGGTGGGTAAAAGCCTTCAATGCGGGATGCCAAAATGTGGCAGACATGCATTGGCCAGGTCGTCCTAGTGTCAGTGAAGAAGTGTATGCTCTTTCCGCATTACTGGAGAGTGATCGACACCATACGATTTGTGAGCTGGCCTGAGAGACAGGATTAGCGCATACGACTGTGCTTCACATTCTGAAGGAATGCCTGGGTATGAGAAAAACTGCATCAGAATGGGTTCCACATGAGTTGATGGAAAAGCAGAAGTGGCAAGTTGTGGTTGATTTGTTTGATCAATGGGGCTGGGAAGTGCTGTACCATCCACCATACTTCCCGGACTTAAGCCCTTGTGACTTCAACTTGATTCCTAAGATGAAGGAACCACTTCATGGCATTCGCTTCAGAACTGTTCCAGAGATTCTTCAGGCAGTAGACCGCTCCATTCGAACTATCAACACAACAGGCGCTGCTAAAGGTATCCTACGGCTTCCACATCACTGGCAATGGGTTGTACACAATGCTGGTGACTACACTGAAGGACAGTAAAACTTCGAAACATGCATCTATTTTGTATCAGTTGTAAATAAATAGTTGCCACTATTAAAGTTCCAACTCTCGTATAAGGAGTGAAGATATCTTTACTGAAAGTTGCAACATTATAACAATGGAACAGATTTTACATATACTAAATGTAAAAAGGTAAAATTGTCCATGCTTAACTAATTAAGCACTACACCATGAAGGCATTTGGAGGAGTGGGCATGTAGATCCACATTTTCTTCACCTCGGCACTAGCTGGAGGTGAGTGATCAGCTACATACCCCAGCCGCTTTACCTCAGGTACCCATTGACCAGAAGGTTGGATGGACCCCAAGAGTTGGTCTCGATGATGTGGAGAAGAGAAAATTCTTGACCCTACCAGGACTCAAACTCTGATGTCATGTTCGTCCAGCCCGTAGCTAGTCGCTATACTGACTACGCTATCCCAAGTAAACTAATGGACAACTTTGAAGGTGTTGAATGGAAACAATTAACAAATCATCTCCTTGAACCTTTCTTTGCTGACTGTAGGACCCTCAGGAATAAATCTTGGGTGCACAATGCCTTGCTGGTCAAAAAAGAACTCTACATCAGCTGGTATCTATACTTACCACCAAATATAACTCCACATTTGATACCATGAAATGTTACTTTATTTGCCTTTCTCGCCACAGATCTCATCCAGTCATTTTTTAACTGAAGTTTAGTAAGAGAAAATGTTATAATGCGAACCCTTCACATAAAAATCAAGGTGACATACACTGAATAAAATGAAAACAAATTAGATTTGTATTTGGCCGTGGCATGCAGTTGCGTAGTTGGTTGATGCACTATACTACAAGCTGGAAGGTTGCGGCTTCGAGTCCTGATGAGGTGGATTTTTTCAACTGATCTAATCCTTCTAGTCACACTATGGCACTGGGGTCAACTCAGGCTCTAACAGAAATGAGTATCACGAATCTTCCTGTGGAGGTAAAGGGCGGCCAGCACGTAAGGTTGACAACCCTGACTGTCTGAACAAAATGTAAGAGCCTCAATGTCTCACAACACTATGGGGCCTTCACAGCCTGTTACAGGGATAGCTTTACCTTTACCTGTAACTGACTGTAAATACAGGCAGTAAATGTCAACAATACAATGGAATGGAAAATGGTAAGTTCTCCCAATACCACATTCCTTCTCTAGTAATTCCAATGGAACTTCGAGGTTCTCAGCAACTTCCACACAGAGAAAAGCTTGTTATCTGCTGCACTGATGAGCTTGCCAGTGATCTTCATGTGGTCAGTGCATTGTTCTTGCACAGGCATTCTTGATCAGATTTTCACTCAGGATGATGTGGCAAGTATCAAGTGAAATTATGACTTTCTCTGCAATCATCCCTACTGGCTAGGGATGCATGATAGCTCAAGCGTTAGTCGCTGGCTTCCCGCTACGGCAGCCAAGATTCGATCCAGGATCCGGTCAAATGGGATTTGTGGTGGACAAAGTGGTGCTGGGACGGATTTTCACCAAGTACTTCGGTTTCCCCTGCCAATCTTCATTCCACCAAATTCTCCATCATCATAATCACTCGGGGCAGGTTACAATAGACCAGTCAGTGGCTGCCGTGCTCAGTAGACCCAGTTGGACTCCACCCCCGCTAATCGAATTTAAAAAAATCTCTACCTGCTAAGAATGATCAGATTGCAAACTTCCTGCATTTCTTTCAACTTGGGCCATGAGAGCATATGTTTGCCATATACAGCATAAGCATCCATTGTGTTTATGTCACTACCCTTGATAGTGATCTCCCTGCCACTCTCCATGCAGCTCAAACACAGAGCACAAAAAGTTAAGCAAATATCATAAGTGGTGAGCACATGGTTGGGAATTCAGGAATATCAGTTGTCAGTGGGATTTCTGATGCACTCTGTGGCCCTTAAAAGCGCTGGCTGCACAGTTTTCCTGGTCCACTGACTTCATTGGTCATGATGAGGCACCAAATCCTGCTCTCCTTCCTCTCTCCAAAATACAGGATCCTATATATACAAAGAAACTCACCTACCTTACACACTTGAACCAAGTACACACCTCTGAAATGTCAGCTCCCACTTCCATACAGTGTATCAAAACAGGAACAGCATTAACAACTTCTTATTCTGTTTGTACAGATCAGACCACTTGACTGCCCTGAATCAAGTTAATTCTGGGATGATTTGTCTTCCATGCAGGCAGTAATGCTTCTTCAATGGTATATGTAACTATTTCAAGATCTCTAACAACATATGGATGTACAGTCAAATACCTATGCTACAACCAAGGTTAGAACCTGCAGTCCCACTGTACAAGTGGTTTAATTTTGTTGTCTGTAGTTCATTTAACAATACTATCAGTAACTCAGACTAAGTAACTCTGAATGCCTGCATGGCGGGGAATAATGAGCTGGATGTGGAAGAAGGCATCATGGCCTAATTTAAGGTACTATCCCAGCACTGCCTCAGTGGAATGAAAAAAACCCATCAAAACCCCAGTCAGGACAGTCAGTCTCCCAATCAAAATCCAAACTGGGCACCTCCAACATACAAGTCAGAAGCATCACTTCTTGAACCAGCTCTTGTGGTCACAGAAATGGCTTACAGACACAGTAGACTGAAATTGTGTGGCCACCGGGAATCCTCACTTACAGCTTCATTTTTGAAGGGTGTGAATCCATTTCTCGACCAACAACAACAACACCTTTCAATTTTACATTGCCTGTGAATCTGAAAGTCAGAAGAAACAAGAAGCACTGATCACAAAAATGATTCATTTTGGAATTTATCAACATGATGACATTTGTAAGTGCAAAGCCTTACAGGACACTAAAAACGAAGCGTGAGAGTAATTCCATCTGTGTCTCTATCTACTGTGAACAAAGAACTGATACATAAGAGAGGAGACCCTGTTATACAAATATGCAGTCCCATAAGTAGGCCAGTAAATGGAACTCTCAGCTATATCCAATGTTGACCTTGGTACCTAACCAACACTCAAAATAGTTATTTGAGGCCCAACATTGCACATATAAAAAAAAAAAAAAAAAACTAACTCCATGGTTTTAGTCCGCAAGTGGGCTATAGTGAATGAGTGACCACCACTTGTCGGCGAAGTGACTGCCAACTTTAGTGGATTGAGGGTGTCGCTTGGTCAGCACAACAAATTCCCATGGCAGTTAATTTCGGTTTTCTAGGCTGGAGCCGCTATTTCCTTGAAATAGCTCCTCAATTATCCTCAGGAGGCTGAGTGGACCCTTTACCAGACCCACTACTTCTCAGAAAATCTGGTAGCACTAGGAATCGAACCCAGATCTCTGGATCTGTAGCCAGGAAATCTGACCACTAGACCAAAGAGGCAGTCAACATTGCATATAATAGAGATTACAACTGTAAACAATCCTGTATCAGTTGAGTCTGGTTTGTTTCCTTTCAAATTATTCTGTCATTTAATCTTACAACTGAAAGTCCAAGAATTTAGATCTATGGACAGAAACATGGAATTATAGCAAGAAACTTCAATGAAATCCAACTACAGAAGTATAATAAGTAAGTTTAGGTTTCTATGTAACAGATTTTACTTTCATTATTATGAAAAAATTAGTTGGACTTGGCAAGGTTTGTAAGCAAATAATATGCAGTACATTTTTATTCAGATTTGAATGACTGGCTCTGATATGACAAAATTTCATATGCAATTGCCAAGGAACAGTGAGAACTGTGTACTGCATGCGTACATTTTCTTGACTCCTCGGCTCTTGCTGAGGAAAATATCTCGGTACAACACAGCTTGCATCCATCCATCCATCATCATCATCACTGGCATGACAGCCCTTTGTGAGCCCTGGCCTTCCTCAGGTTTGCTCGCCATTCTTCTCCATTCGATGCTACATTCCTCCAGTTCTTTACACCCAAAATTCTTATGTCCTGCCAGACACATTCTTCCCATTTTAATCTTGGTCTTCCCACTCTCCTATTTCCTTCTGGTTTAGTATTAAGCATATTCTTAATCAATCTATTCTCGCTGGTACATATTATGTGGCCAGCCCATTCAAGCCTTTTCACCTTTATAAACCCAATAATGTCTAGTTCATTAAATAGTTTGTATAGCTCATGGTTATACCTCTTCCTCCATATTCCATTTTCTTCCGCTGGTCCAAAGATATATCTCAAGATCGTCCTTTTAAATACACTTAACAGTCTTTCATCCGATCTTGACAGTGGCCAGGTCTCAGAGGCATAAGATAGCACTGATCTTATAAGTACTTTATACATCATAGTTTTGGTTTTCCTGGGTATTAGCTGGGATTTCAGGTGTTTCCTAAGGCCACGGAGACATTTATTTGCCACAAGTACACGCTTTTTTATTTCATCACTGATGTCATTTTTACAGTTAACTTCTGATACAAGGTTAGTGAAACTACATACAACCTCAAATTTATATGAGCCAATTTCAATATATGCAGGTCCATTAGCACAGCCTTTCTTGGTTACCGGCATGTACTTTGTTTTATTTTGGTTAATTTGTAGATTCATCTTTTTTGCTGCTCTTTCCAAATTAAGAAAAGCTTATTTCATAGATTTTTGTGTTCTACCAATTATATCAATATCATCTGCAAATGCCAAAATTTGAACTGACTTAGAGATTATAGTTCCCCTTGTGTTGATGCCTGCACCTCTAACGACCTTCTCTAATGCTATATTGAACAAAAGGCAGGCTACGGAATCCCCTTGTTGAACTCCATTTCCAGTTATTATAGGGCTGGACAACATATTCTGAATCTTAATTTGGCATTGGGTCTTTCTCATAGTGCTTCTGACTAAGGCAATTAACTTCCGTGGAATGTGCATCTCTTCCATTACCAGAAAAAGACTATCTCTATCTATGGAGTCTTAGGCTGATCAGAAGTCAATGAAAAGATGTGTTTCAATTTGGAATTCATCACACTTTTCAAGGACCTGGCGAACAGTGAAAATCTGATCGTTAGTTGATCTTCCTTGATGAAACCCACATTGGCAATCCCCAATTATGCCATCCACAAAGGGAGAGAGTGTTAAATAGAATGTTGGAAAATATTTTATATGCTATGCACAACAGACTAATTTCTCTATAATTAAAGCATACCATGACATCGCCTTTCTTATGGATAGGGCACACAATACTTAGGTTCCATTCCTCTGGGATTATTTCAGTTATCCATATCTAAACTATGAGCTGATTAAGTGCTTGGCATATTCTGGGCCTGCAAATTTCACTAATTCTGCCGTGATGAGATCCATTCCTGGAGCTTTCTTATTTTTCAATTTTTTGATAGCTTGTTCTACTTCTTTTATGGTTAGCACTGGCTCTTCAGCCTCAAAATTTCCTTGATTCCAGTCTATGGTCATACCTTCCACTTGTTCAGATGCGTTACTATTTAATAATTCCTCAAAATATTGCGCCCATCTTTCCAGTATTGCTTCATCGCTACTCAATATTGTGCCTTCTTTATCTCTACATAAGGTTGATCTAGGTTGAAAATCCTTTCGACTCTTGTTTAGTTTTTGATAAAACGCTCTAATTTCGTTTGAACTTCTTAAATGCTCCAGTTCAATCAGTTCTTGTTTATCATATTCCCTTTTCTTCTTTTTATGCAATCTTTTTTCTTTTCTTCTCACTTCACAGTATTCTTCCACGGCCCCTTGAGTATGGTTCCTTTGCTGCATTCTCTTATATGCCTGGTTTTTTTGATTTGTCACTTGCTCACACTCTCCATCAAACCAATTCTTATACTTTATCCTTTCCATTCTGCCTAAGACTGCACCAGCAGCATTTATAATAACATCTCTGAGG